CTATTAGCTATCTTTATTTTGTGGTATAAAAGTACAGATTAGATAATTTGACTCTTAAAATAATCTTATTAATACATGTGGCTCGCGTACATAGTCATGTTGGCCACCCCTGGTATACAACATATGACGTTTTAATTTACTGAGTAGAGATTCGCACCTCGTAAAAGCTTACATTTAAGAAATTTCGATTTTGACATTATATTATTGTACTTAACGATTAATACACTGAAAAACGTAGTCCGTTTACTATGTACTGCTAGTAAGAAGGATATATAGTGTTTTAAATCAAACGCCTACATGTCAAAATCAGATACGTACTTATAAATTCAAAACCATCAATCATTTGCGGTTATATTATATTTTATTTAATTGTACACGAACAAATATTCGATAACTACAAAATAATGTTTTTCATCTCACAGGTTAAGCTCCATTTGTTATATTTTTGGTAGATGGTTCATTTGTCATTCAATCTAACACAAAAAAGCAATTATGCCTAAAATGTACGAATAAGGTTTTATTTATTTTCTTGGTAAGCTAAGATATGTTTTCCTGTGTTTAAATCGTATTTATATGTAACATTCGAAACATATGACACTTTTTGACAAAGACTTTAGTTTATCAATTATGGTACACAAAAACTTATTAGGAAAAAATATAGTGTACCTAAATGTATACATGTATTTACCCAGTTAATATACCAAATAATAATGTACCGGTTACCTGCTAGAGTCATCAGTGAGGCTGTTATAAAATTCTTACGGCTATTCTTGTATTCTGGTTAAAGTGGTTTTTGTGCAGTTTTATTTTATACGTATAATTAATGTTATTTCTTCTTTCTCTCTCTCTCTCTCTCTCTTTCTATCTATCTTTTTATACATCTCTTCTTAGATGCAAATTCCAATTTGTTTGTTTTGCATAAACTTTGTCATGCTTGCATAATAGTTTTGTTATGCTTATCTTAACCGCATTGGTTAAGATAAATTGTAACTAAATATTGAGTTATAATATACAATCATTTTAAAACCAAATTCATCCTATTAAAAAATATCTGAACAAAAAAATGATGTATAATATAAAATAATTTAAATGTATGAAGCCGAATGAAATAATAATTAGTTAAACATGTGTGAAAATCTTTATGTATTTTTTCAACAATATTATAGATAAATTCTTAAGCGTACGCCCTACATTTCATTAATAATATTTAAATTTTGTACATTAATATTAATTTTAATTTGAATATGATTGACCAACATTTTATTCGTAAAATTTCAGATTATTTAACTTTATTTAATCTGAATACTTAACAGAAATATAAATTATCTAACGATAATTTGCAATTATTTTTTAAACAATTTTTTTTTTTTTGCATATGGCGATTTAAACAATAATATAAGAATATTTATTTTTAAAGGTAATATTGTTGTGTTCCGATTTTTGAATATTATTTTTTTGATATATTTTAGTAAATTTTTAATAATTTCTAACGATGTTCCATGAACTTAAAACTTCTATTCCAGATTCAAATTCTAACTAGGTATAGTTTTAAACAAATTATACTTACTCGATCTTCAATACCGCATTATTCAATTATTCTTTGGATGATATAATTAATATAAAAAGAACATAAATATCAAACTTTATTGTTATTATTTTTTATTTATGAAATTACTTTCGGTGGCCATTAGTTGGTATTTATATGTATGATTACAATGGATTAAAATTTATATTAATAAAATGTTTACCTATGGTGATAATAATTTACTGATTATAAATATTTTATTAACATACATGTACTGACTAAATAAGTGTATAAAAATTTATTCAAAGTTCTTTGTTCGACTATAAAAAAGTACTTACTCCTGTCTTAGTATTTACTGCTATGTAATAAGTATATATGTAATCGATTTTTCTCCTTTTTTTCCTTCACCTTTCTCCCAACTATTTGGATTCGGCAACCCTTGTTCTAAACCTACACTCATATCGATTTTCTACATCCCTTACGCTCATACCAACAGCCTTCATATCATTCTCAATCGTATCCAATCATGTATTTTTTGATCTTCCTCTCCCATTTTCCCATTCAAAGTTCATTTTCATAACCACTCTCATTGCTTTTGTTTCCTCTCTCCTCATCACATACCTAAACCATCTCAGTCTATATTCTCTCATATTGTCCACTTTCAACGCTATACCAATACTACCTCTCATATATTCGTTCTTTATTCTATCTTCGCTTATAAACTCATCCATTTAAGCATTCTTATTTCCAAAACACTCATACTCAGTTCTGTTCTTTTATCAACCACCTAACACTCTGAACTATATAGTTTAGTTGGTCTCACTAGACTCCTGTAAAATCTTTACCTTTTAGCCTCATTGAAATTCTGAAATTCTCTTATCAAATAAAACGCCCGACGCTTCTCTCCGTTTTATCAAAAGTACTTTATCACTTAATATGTAAACCAAAGGCGAATCCAGACCAAGATTACGGGGATGGACGATTTTTAATGGACACACATGATATAGATATTTATATAGATAAAATTAAAAATATTAATTTTGATATAGGTTATTTATTTAAATAAAAAAAGGCTTAAAAAAAAATATATAGGAATAATAATAATAATTTTTTTTTAGTTATACCATTATGAGTCATAACAATAGAGTTTATAATTACAAATTTGTTGATTATGGAGGTACCGAACGATTTTTATATTGGTCATTATCAGTTATCACGTTTCGGAAACACCAACAAACACAAAACTTGATTACGAATATTTAACATCAGGGCTGCATATTATGACAGGACGGGCCGTAAGTTGAAGACCCCTGATGTAGATTATGGATCCAAATTGTGAGTGTTTGGTTAGAATTAATTTTCTTCCACTTCAAGTTAAATATGATTTGTTGCCAAAAAATATTAAATTGTTAATAATAACGACAGCAATATTATTTCAAAACGTATTTATTATTCTATTACTATAAACGTAGTCATTCGAGTATATCTTAAAATTTAATAGTATTTTATTAAAATAACGAAGTACAGAATATCTTATTAATTTAGTATTCATTTGAAAAATAAAATAATTTTATTGTATCAAATAGTTTCATAGATCATGGTTTCTATGTGAATAAAAATATGTACCTGTATTTTATTTTTCTTGGTTCATTATAGTTATAAATATAATAGTAAAAAAAAAAATCTTGAAAATGTAATATTTATAATAACATAAGTTACGTTTTTTTAAAGCTCCTCGTCAACACGAAAATGGTCGCCAAGCAACATATAAATATAATATAATTGTTTTAATATCAAATATCAATAGAGACGATAGTTATGGATAAAAAATTAAAAAAAAAAATCACACGATAAACACAATTAATCAACTATATAATTACGTAAATATTTTTATATATTTATGGTGTTATTTTATTGAAAAAAAAGTTAAAATGTTAAAATGAACGCTAAAATTTATAGAAGTCGTTATCAGACTAAGTGTACATATATATATATATATATATATATATATATATACATGAACATTAAATCACATAGTAAAAAACGTCTTTATAGTACAACAAATATCGACTTTTTTTTTTTTTAAACTCGAATTATGATTACGAAAAATGTATAAATAACCAACTAATAATAACATAATTTCATTTTCGAAAATTCTCCTTTTCATAACAGATTTAATGTTTGTTTTTAATCTTATGAACTTTATCATTATGTATCATGAGTTATTATCTGAAATTAATATTTAAATTCCATGTCAAAATACACGTAATTCAGATTTATTTTTAGTTAATCATTATATAACTAATACTGATACAAATTATTTTTTTCTCTAATTCATTAATTCTAACTAATACAATTTGTTTACACTTGGATATCTTGGTTCTTTCTTGTAATTGTTTAAAAACAAAAACAATGATTTCATTAAAATATATTATTCATTAATCAACAAAAAAATAAAAATATAGGTATAGAAAATGTTTAACATTTTTTTTTTTATATATTTTTATTATTATTATTATTATTTTTTTAATTGTTTAGTATTAGTTTGATTCTATTTTAAGTATATACTTTGTAAAATAATTAGTAAAATTAGTAAAATAATAAATAAATAGTTCATAATAACAAAATATTATAATAACATTTCTAATTTTTTTTAAACTTTTCTACTCGCGAAATAATTTTTCAAACGTGGATTGATTAATATGCATTAAGCATGATGTTCTATAAACCATTTGTGTTATTTTTTACACAAAAATATCGTGAAAATCAGTTCTATTAAGCAAATTCATTCAATATAATCATCATTAAATTACATTTTTATACTATTAGATTAAAAATAAATTATAGAATACAGTGAAGAAATAACTTACTATTTGTCACTTTTCTTGATTATTTTATGCTATTGTAACTTGTCGAACGATATAAAAACATTGAAATATAAATCAATTATTTTTGTTCATTTTCACATAAGCACTAAATTATTTTCTTTGCTTCCAAAATAATGTAGTTGTGAAAAACTAAAGAACATTATTTCAGTTCACTTATATTGATTTAAATAATGAGTGATATCTCAAATTACAACAAAACTGTTAAATCAATAGAAAACGAATTTGTGATATTTTCTCTGAATATTTTTATTAAAATCTGTCCATAAAATAAAATAGCAAATATTCTTTTCATGTTTTAAATTGGTTTCATAAATTGGTAATTCATAACTAAACAGCTCCATGTTTTCACATTTTACAACGCGTTTTGAATTTACTAGAATTTTAAATAATATTTTAAACTGTGCTACAAGTCGTGTTGTGATTGTGATTTTTAATTATGATTTCGTACATAAACCGTAAGATTAGAAGAAAAAAATTACGAAAACAAATTATATCAAGTCTTAAAATGTTTTTTTTAAATATTTGGTAAACATTTATAAGCAATTGATTTGACAATTATTGATCATAATGTTACATGAAGCGCTTTTTGTAAATTAAGTCGACAGTCAAACAATTCATGTAACACAAATACAATTATATAGCATATATGCTCACATTTCAATATTTTAAAAATATACTAATAATATTCGCATTTGTAATAATTTTTTAAGTATGATTTTTTGGCCACTTTACCTTTGATACATTCCTCGATCAGTTTGAATTGCCTAAAGTCGGCTTACTAGCTCAGTTTAATTGTAACTTTGTTTCACTTATTTTCTTCACTTCCTTGTCGTAGTCGTCTGTCTGCTCATTGATTCCCGTTCTGCCTTACTCTATACTAATTATTTTTATTTATTATTATTATTATTATTCACACAAAAAATTTGAAGCCATATCACTGATTATATTACTATATTATATTGATTATATTACCCGTACCCATGAGTTAGTAGAAAATTATTTTTCGGATAAGTGAATGCTTGAGACTTATTTTGGTTTTTGTACTTATTTATAATGTATGTAGAGCCATATGTCTCCATAGTAAAACTCGTATAATTTACCCATCTGAATACGACTTTTTCTCAATTTAAAATACTCGTGTTTATTGAAAAATAATAAAATACGATGTTATATTTTTGTGTGTGGTTATAAGCAGTCGTCAATGCGTAAGTGATGGGAACATGTACCGGTAAAAGTGAATCTAATTTTAAGAACCGATTTATTCTTAAACCATTGCCAAAGTATTTAGTGGTCTCACCCTAATTTAAAGCCAGCTAGACACGTCTGAAGTGGATCCTTTGGATTGTCTCCAATTTATTGGCACGCGGCTGGAACATCCCACCAGCAGAGACTTAAGATAAGATTTTCTGTAAACTGTGTCTGTAACAAATTAGCAAATTGCGTTCGGCCACCACTCCTGATAACCACATTTAAAATATACATCCAATCCACCATACAATGATAAAATTACTTTAACAGATAATCTCTAGTCGCTTGTCCGGCCTTCAATGTGCGCACACCGCAAAAATAGCGCATCGTATCGAAGTTGAATTATACACGCAACACGGTGAATTGTGAATCACAATGTATTCCCAACGTACACATGATGGTCTGTTTAATAAAAATGATGACTAACCATAGGTTATCTTGTTCATATACCACAAAGAATACGTGTTTTACAGCGCAATAATATCATATTTTTTTTAAGTACCACTTTTTACAGAACCTCTTCAGTCGACAAACACGTTCGCTACATAATAATATCTCCATGTCGACTAGACGAGTAAATTATACTCTTGAAAGATATTTAAGTGTTTTTTTTTAAAAAAAAAAAAAACTTTTCGCTTTAAAAAATGTCTTCTACGGAAATAACTTTTACCGAGGTTTACAAAATAAATCATAAAAATCATTGAGATTTGAAGTAAACAGTGTATAGGATGTCTCTAGTATAGTAAATATTAAAGTTTTACGTGAAATAAATTGAATAGTTTATAGTAATTACATTTATTAATAATTAATAATAATTAAACAAATTTCACAACATATTGCTCTGATAACAAATTATATTTAAATAAGAATAAATTTATGCAAATATTATTCCACTGCAAATATACAAACTTATTTTACCATTATAACCTAGCTAAGTTTCAATATTAATGTCGTGAATGAAGTGAGTGATCTCAGTATAATTTTGTCATCCGATTTGAATTTCAAGCGTCACACAAAACTTATTTGCGCTAAACTCTCTAGAAATGTAGACTTTATAAAACGCAATACTTTGGATATGAATTATACGTGCGTAAACACTTTGTACTTTTTTATGGTACGCCTAACCTTAGAGTTTGGTTCGTTAATTTGGAACCTGCACCGAATAGGTTTTGAATACGATAAAATTGTAACAGTTCATCCGATATCGGGGATTGATCTTAGGCGAGTTTTTTTTTTACATTGAATTCCGCGATGTTTATCTAGACCTAGTTCACTATTCTCTCGCGCTTTATTTTTTTAAACTAATAACGTATTCATTTCAAACAAATCATATTGATTTTCTATGGTTTAATTTCTTTTCACGTGAGAATCCTATGCCACCTACGTTACAATTGTATATAAATATTGCAATTGCGTAGATTATATGTATAGACTTTTCATTTATGAAACTCAATATCGACATAAATGTATTTAGATTTACGTTTCAACAATTTCAATAATTATTTTTGTTATTAGTCTAATTGAATAATAGTTACGTACACAATATGATACTGCGAGTATCGTTGCGCATTCGAAATAATATACTTATGATTAGGCCGGTACATAATGTGTCGACAAATACTCCGATGGTTATAATGCTAATATTTGCACAATAATCGAAATATTCCAAACAGTAGCAATGCGTATGATTACTGTACGAGTATTATAAATTTTCTGCTACGCAATCGTGTACAGCTGTCGTTGATAGCTGCAGTGGACAGCATACGTGCGGGTGTGTGGGCAGTGTCCCGCCGAGTTATCGAATTCAAACACACCCGTTAACCCGCTCACGCTCCTCCGATTCAAATAGATCGCATTGCAAGCCGACAGTTTTTTGATACTGTTAGTATAATATACTGTAATATTATTATTTAATATTATATACATATTATAATATTATATTTTATTTAAGTATAATATTATTATACTTGTCGAAACATACGCAATATTATTATTACACAGCGAAATCTGTCAAAGACGGCAAATTGTCCATAGATAAAATAATATTTACTCCGCTGTTACAGCAATTCGTATTAAAAGCAGCATTGTGAAACTGGTAGGCTCGAAACTCGTCACAAATTGAATGATTTTCAGGTTCTGTGCGATTCCGCATCTTCGACTGTTTTCACTGTATATATACGTGTATATTAGTGTGCACGCGACGGGTTGAATATGTTTTTTCCGGTACAAGCAGTTATCAGCTGTAAGTTAATATTATACCCGGTTTGGTTTACGGTGCACCGTGGCAACCGCGACAAAGCTTGTTTTACGGCAGAAATACAATCGTAACGATGTTGTTGACCCAAGAAACATTTCTATTCTATTTTATACATACAATAAAATCCTTTTCATATTATGGCGTTGTTTTCGAATTAGCCAGCTTCGCTCAAGAGATATTGTATTTTTTAAATAAGAATTTATCGATTACTATATCGAGAAAGGTACAATAAAATTAAAAAAAGCTAAATTGTAGACAATTATACTGTCATATATGATAATATTTAATGATCTAATGATATTTATTTATGATTAATTTACGTTGTAAATACCTCAATTGATATTTATAAAAATCAACTTATGAAATAAAATAATTTTTAAGAAGTAAAAAAATCTGTACATACCTTGCCCATGCCCAAAACATTTTTGACTCTTAAAAATGGCATTTTTGAAAAATTCTTTCCCAGTCCACCTAACATATATAGGATAATTAGTACGAGTATATTTCCCCGAAATGTCAAATCAATCCGTATGGTATATTTTGGCTATGCGCTGATCAGTCAACGGGTGAATGGTATTTGAATTTAATATATGTAAATATATAATAACACTAACTCTATTCAAAGTCCAGAACACCCCTCCCTACCCATTCAATGTTTAAGGCTACCGCGGGTAGTTAAGTTTGATTGTTTGACCATGTATAGAATGCAATAGGTTTCCATCGGTTGGACCGCTGTCTAATTATAAATTATTAATTATACCCATGTATACATGTTAATACACTTGGTAATTCAATGCATTCAAATCATTACAATCGTTTGTTTCACCTGTTATGTACCAATAAATTGGCTCATAAAGTGAGATGTTTTATACATACAGTTATAAGTAAATTAGTGTACTATTTACTTTTATGTTTTTTTCCCCACTACACCGTAGGATATTGAAAAATAAAAAAATTATAAACAAATTATTACTCACTTAAATTTAAATAAAAATTAAAACCTCCTCCATAATATACTCTTTTATATTTAAAAAAAAATCAAGATAATCAGATGAGTAGTTTTAGAAAACGCGCGTGAAAAATATTCAATTTTCATATTATATATATAAATAGATGCATACAAATATATTCACTCATAGTCTAATTTTTTTTAGAATAGGGGTATCACCCCAATTGTCCCCTACCAGCGGGTAGGCAAATGTCACGGACCTCGGGACCGAAGGGGACCCCAGCGCTCCCAGCCCAACTTACAATACCTACCCTATTGGCTATTTCTACATTCGTTATTCGATTCAAAATTTCACAAAAATAAGTATATTATTTTGATATCTGAAAAAAAATACTAAGAAATACGAACCTTGTATTAGTACTATGCATCTATATGGTCTTAACGCTAATAAATAATAATATAATATCATTAGAGGCCCGATTTAAAAAAAAATATTATCTACAACAAATCTCATATGCGAAACAGTTTACAGTTATCAAACTGGTATACTAATACACTATAAATATTATTTTATATTATTGCATTTCATAATGAGTAATGGCTAAAAATAAAATGGAAAAATTTATAGTAATAATGCCTACAACAACAATACAGTTATATCATAGCTTCAGCCCTGTATAGTGTGCTACAATGATACAGTATAGTGTTCACAGTTACCAATTTTTGGATTTCGTTGAAACTGTGTCTTGTTTTTTATGTTCATGTTATAATATGATTCGTATTTTATTATTATTAAGTATTAAATTATTTAATATTTTTTTTTAACATATAGTAGTAACAGTTTATAATAAACGTGCTATTAAAAACAATACTAAAATACTATATTATTGACCAATAATAAAAAATGTTTGAGTAGACACTAAAAACTAAAAAAGAAGAAGGATATTCAAGAGATTATGTCAAAATTACTAAAAATCAACAAATTTTTTTCTACAATTCCTGCTGTTGTTCCTAGCATAGGTAAGTAAAAAATTGTTATTCTGGGCTGAAACAATGCTAACGCAGTTTTCACCTTGGTCTGGTTTTATACAGGAAAAAGTAGAAAATTGTAAAGTACCTATTATTTATTTATATGCTGATTGCTGAACAAAATTTACTTATTATACTTATTTACTATTTACTTATATATATATTATTATTATTATATCTTTAATGTGCGTTCAAAAGAAGTTAAACCATATTTTTACCCATAGGAAAAATCAAGGCCTTATTCAGTGCAGGGCAAGAGAGCATGGGCTAAGAGCGCAATTCTAAGATATTTTATTACTGCTTATATACTTTTTTTGAGGGCCCATATTAATCTCTGCACACGGGCCTCCAATGACCTACTTATGCCACTACCCCCTACCCTTATTTGTATTCATCATTTAAGAGTCATATTTTGGTGGTAAGATTAACATCATGTATCTCTTGGTGTATTAATTGCATCCAGCCTAACTAGTTCTTGGATGAGTGATTACCAAAGAGTTTAGGAGCGAAGTTAATACTAATACTAACACAATGCTGTTAATTGCTATGCTAAGTATTTCAACTAAAAAGAACTTTACGTCCTTCCCAATTTGTGTATAATGACTGCTATAGTTTAAATTAAAAATAAAATAAATTCCTTATCCAAATTTTATATATATATATATATATATATATATTTAAGTAAATCGGTTGATCTACTATGTTATTCAAATTTAATTCGACCAGATTATTCTTAATCACCGAATTTGATCAAAAAAAAAAATCTCTACATCCGAAAAAAGAGACAAGCGAGTTTAAATCAATTTTGACGAAAGCATTTAAATGAATAGACTTAATTTCATTAAAAATCGAAAATATTTAAAAAAAATGAACACAAAAATCTATTTTCTTTCCAATGCATATCTATACTTATTTGTGGTCTGTAGTTTCAACAAGTTATTGTTCTTTTTTTTTTTAATAAATTTGGTTCGGATGAGTGTTTTCTTAACATAAGTCAACAAATTTTAACGATAAATTTGCTGATTCCTGGTATAAACATGCATTTTATAAGTGTGATGACGAGTACGGTACGTTGATGACATTCGTAAATTTCATATAATCTCAATAATGGAATCGACTGCGAATTATTCCGACATATTGATTGTTG